TTTTTTTTTTTTTTTTTTTTTTTTTGAGACAGGGACTCACAATGTAGTGAGACTGAGCTGGAACTCACTGTGTAGCCCAGGCTGGTCTCGAACTCACAGCGCTCCTCCTGCCTTAGCCTCCTAAGTGCTGGGATTGCAGGTGTGCACCACCACGCCCGGCTTTTAAGTGCTTTTTTATGGTGGTGTTTTTGTTTGCTCGCTTGCCTCCTTGTTTGCTTGTTCTGTGGGACTGGGATGAAACCCAGGGCCTCGTGGGCGCCAGGAAATTGCTCCTCTGCTGAGCTGCCCTCTATCCCTCTTGGGTGTTCTTGATCTGCAGCTGAAATAATCTGTGGATGCGGAATAGGCTGATAGGAAGGGATGGCAGGGTCGATTTGAGGCAAGGATTGCGTGAACTGTGAGACCAGTAGGACGGGTGCATTCTGTCTCCAGGCTTCACTTTGCTTTTTGTGAAAACAAACAGGAAGAGGTGAGTTGGGACCTTTACTGAGCTCAACTCAGAGCTGTTGGCAGTGGGGATTCAGATAAGGATTCCCAGGCTCCCAAAGACCTGGCCTGATCTCAGAGGTGGTCACCCCAGAGCGTATCACCTTTGCTTAGGTGATAGGATTATTGCATCTGCTGCGCACGGGGCTGCCAGGAATACAGCATCCCACTCTTGGTTTTGTTTTACATACTTAACTGTTTGCAGGGCTGGGGCTTGAGCCCATGCTAAGCTAGGGCTCAACCAGAGAGTTCTGCCCCCAGCCTGACTCTGGGACTTTCCTAAGAAGTTTCTGAGACCCGAAGCACTGCACTGGGGTAGTCAGGAAACTGTGCTGTGGATCGCTGCTGGGTTTTGGCCTCACGGAATGTGGATGTTTGCCGACAAGACGTGGAGAGTTGGGTGGTCACCAGAAAGCGCCGGCGGGTTATTCTGGGTAGCTCCACAGTAGGGGAAGAGGTGACGGGCCGGCGGCAGGAAAGTGGCAGCAAGGACTCTTGTAGAAAAGTCCAATGTAGGGCAGAGGCCGTAGCTCTATTTCAAGCAGTTGTCCTAAAATCTACCTAAATTAGAGTGACACAGTATTACGCACACTGATCGTTTTTTGAGGTCTGGGAAGGTGCTTTGGTGACACACAGCACCCACTAGGAGTTTAATTTCTCCTTTCGTCGCCGAATGTAATCTCTATCAAGAGGAAGAAAGCCTGCTAAGACCTTACCCTTCTGAAGGAGAAAACAAGTAAAATTTTCAGCAGTTGGCAGGGTACTCTTATATGTGGATGTGAGTGTGTTTTAATTCCTCTTGGGTTAAAAATTTCTTTTCAATGTGTATCCGCTCAGTTTGCTGGGTTTTCTTTCTCTTTTTTCTGATTATAGCTAGGCACATTTAGTTGCTGAAACAGGTTTGGGTTGTAAACTGTAGCAGTGCCTTAGAAAATTTAAGCGTCCCACAGAAGTATCTGTCATTCATAACGATAGAAAATGAAGAAACACGGGCTGGGGATTTGGCTCCGTGGTTCCGCCACCTGCCTCGCGAGCCCAAGGACCAGAGTTCGATCCCCGGTACACAAAAAATGAAAATGAAGAAACAGATGAATATGAGTGTCGATTTATTTCCCTACTAACAGCACCGAAAATTATTTTTTGGTTCTATGACTAGCTTTTTTTTTTCCCCTTTTGGTCTTGGGGATCGAACTCAGGACACTGCGCTTGCCGGGCAGGCGCGTTGCCACTGATCATCGTCAGCCCTGTATTTGTTTTCTGTGCGTGTGAGTTTACCTTTCAGAAGAAGAATGGCTCACTAGGTTATCGTGTCTTGAAACGGGAAGGCTGGGGGAAATTAAAAAAGAAAACGCCCGTGAGATCTGGTGTGCGCCGTGGACGATGTTTACTCGGCGCTCACACGCGTGTGCTTCCTCTGCCATCCTGCCAGTGCTTCGTTTGATTCCACGGTTCGATTGTGGGATGTGGAGCGAGGCGTCTGCATCCACACGCTGACCAAGCATCAGGAACCTGTCTACAGCGTGGCGTTCAGCCCTGACGGGAAGTACCTGGCCAGCGGCTCCTTCGACAAGTGCGTGCACATCTGGGACACGCAAGTAAGCGGCCTCTCCGTCCCTGCGGTGGAACCCTTCCGGGGAACACGCCCAAGCAGCCAGGTGGGCCGTGGGCTGTGGCCGGGCAGGAACTTGGGCTCCGGACCGACTTGTCGGAGCTGGGGAGCAGGCCGAACTTCCTGGCTGGGTGCTCTTGGCCTTTTCTGAGGCCCCGGCACGGAAGCTGCCCGGTGCCTGGGGAAAGCGTGTGAGTACTGCCCGGCTGCAGTGTGGGGCGGGTCCCTTCTTCTGAGCTCTCTAGGGGACCCGCTGACTCCACGAACACTGCCGCGGAGCCAGTCGGGGCCGGAAGGAATATGCGTGACAGTCAGGTGACAACGTCACGCACGTAGCAGGACTGGGTTGTCCTCTCTCCGGGGACTGACAGGAGGAGGGATTGGAGTAAGTTAGTCATTGTGAGCATCTCTGGCAACAGAAGAGTCTTAGGTGGCCGTGCGTGGCTGAGAAAGTCTCAGCACAGCCAGCGGGATGGCACTTGCCTGGCATGGCCCAAGGCCCTGGGTTCCATTCCAGCACCCTAAGAAAAAAAGCCAGTGAGGAACCTGTGAGCCAAAGTTCCCCATCGGCCAAGTGTGTGTCTCACGGAGCACCTGTCTTAGGCTGCCTGGTGCCATCGGTCATTGCCCAGTGACAGCCATGGCCCAGACTGCGACAAGAGGGCGGTTCTGAGGGTGGCCGGAGCGAACTCTCCTCTGCAGCGTTGACATCACGGGCCGTGGCCGCCACTGTTTACTGGAAATCTTCCAGCTTCTCCGTGCCTGAAAGTTTTCCCGGTCAAATATAAGGGGCAGGGCGGAGAGCTCAGTGCACACCGCAGCTCTCGGGACCCCCTGGCACTGCAGGTGACGGTTGCTTTGCTTTGCAGAGCGGAAGCCTGGTCCACAGCTACCGAGGCACAGGCGGCATCTTTGAGGTGTGCTGGAATGCTCGAGGCGACAAAGTGGGTGCCAGCGCGTCCGACGGCTCTGTAAGCGGTACCTTGTTTGGCAGGGACAGGGGTGTACAGCAGGCGTTCAGCCTGTGCAGAGGATGTGGAGGAGACTCTTGGGGTGGCACCGCCTCTGGGAATAGCCTCCTCTGTCCCTTCCAGCAGGCCTGGGCCCCCTGGGGACGAGACGGTCTCTTACTCTGCAGGTCCCTCGGGTCTCCACAGGCCTTGTCCTTCCTCAGGGGACATCTAGGCGGTTCAGGCATTTTTCTTGATCCAGCTTTTCCGTGCCCTGGCTTTTGCTTGACTGTGGCCGGTCAGATGCTCAGAAACCGGCCCGTGACTTGAGGTTCTCTGGCCTTTGCGATTCTGTTCCAATAAGACTTTATTTATAAATACACCCGTGGCTGTCCAGGTGTGGTCCCAGAGCCATCGTTGTGCCGTGCCGTGTTCTGAAGACAAGCTGGTGTCCCCAAAGGTAACAGGCATTTTGTCTATCCTTCAGGTGTGTGTTCTAGATCTGCGAAAGTAAACAAAAAATATTATAAAGAAAAGAAGAATTCTAACGGACCAGCAGTTGAATGTGTGGGGTCGCAGCCCTCTTCCAACCCTCAGCTCCGAAACAGTACCAACGTGACTTGTGTTAGAGTATGTTTTGACGTCAGCTTGTCCCTGGCCGCAGGAGTCTACAATACTTTTTTGTAATCTTCATCCAGAAGTTTAAAAACCAAGCAAATGCAAAAGCATATACACAGTCATATCAAGGGGGGTGGAAGGGGTCTCCACCTAGGACTGTCCGCCGGGGAAGGAGGAAGCCACCACTGGCTTGATTTCCATCCACGACAGGCTCTGATGGCCAAATAGGGGAATAGCTGTGCCAAAAAAAAACAAAAAGTAAAATGTTATGATAAAACCAAAAGGGGAAAGAACACCTCCTCCTTGTGGTACTCCCCCCCATAATTTGGACACTATGGTTGCTCTCACAGAGGATGTTCAAAGACCAGTTTGTACCCATGAAACGTGTGACTTTGTGACCCCAACACTTCTATTTTCTAGAACCTTCTTTGCTCAGTGGTTTTTCTATTCGCTGGAATCCATCCGTGGGCTTTGGTTTGAGATAGAAGCTGGCTTGGGTTTGTCGTCTCTTAACCCCACCCCCACCACCCCCACGTCCC